GGGGAGAGGTGAGGGGGGTGTATGTGTGTGAGGTGCTCGACCGAGGCCTTGAGGTGGCTGCCCGAGGGGTCTCGGCGGGGCCTGGAGATGCTGAGGGTGGTTGAGGACTTTGCCGTGGTGTTGGGGGGTCGGCGAGGGGGTCGGCGGGACCAGGGCTTGGGGTGCGCTGATGTCACGAGTCTTGCCACGGGCCCACGACATGGCCGTAAGATGCTGGCCATGGCCAGGGGCTTTGCTGTGGGCCTGAGACCTGCGCCGTGGCCACCGTCTTTGCCAGGGTCTTGAGGCACCCAGTGGGAGCTTGAGGTGTTGACCATGGCCAAGGTCTTTGCTGTGTCCCCGAGGCCCTCACTGGCAGCTTGAGGCACTCACTACTCGCCAAGGTCTTTGCCATGGCCTTGAAGCACTCGCTATGGTCTGGGTCCTTGCAGTGGCCCCAGGGTCCTTGTGAGAGCTCGAGTTGTTCACCGTGGCCAATGCTTTTGCTGTGGCCTTGAAGCACTTGCCATAGCCATGGTCTTTGCCATGGCACCGAGAGCCTCAGTGGGAGCTTGAGGTGTTCACTATGGCCAGGGCCTTTGCTGAGGTCTCTGCCAATGGCCCTGAAGCGCTTGCTGTGGCCATGGGCTTTGCCATGGCCCTGAGGCCCTCAATGGGACCTTGAGGAGTTCACCATGGCCAAGGCCTTCCATGTCTTTGCCATGGCCTTGAGGCACTCACCATGCCCAAGGACTTCACGATGACCCCAAGGTCCTCACCGGGAACTTGAGGTGCACGCTGGGGTCTTGAGGTTCTCACCATGGCCAAGACCCTTGCCAAGGCCTTCATCTTGGTCAAGGTATTCATCACCACCTTGAGATGCTCCCCAAGGCTTTTGCCATGGCCCTGAGGCCCTTGCTGGGAACCTGAAGCGCTCACTGTGGCCGAGGCCTTCACCGTGGCCTCTTGTTGCAGCCCTGGTGCTTTCACCGTGGCTGCAGCCCTTGCCGTGGTGCTGAGGTTGCTTGCCATCATGAGGTCCTTGCTGTGGACCTGAGGTGCTGACCACAGGCAGCCAGGGCCCTCGCTGTGGTGCTCGCTGTAGCCCGGAGGCGATGGCTGTGGCCCTGGAGTTGTTGCTGTGACTCCTGCCGTGGCTTGCCGAGGCCATGTCCTGCAGGCGCTTCACTGTGCAACCTGAGGGGCTCCCTGTCGCTGTCAGCATGGCCGCGAGGCCCTCGCTGTGGCCTTGAGGCATGGCCTGTCACCCTCAGCCTGGCCCCGAGGTGCTCCTCGGCACCCTCAGCCTGGCCCCGAGGCACCCGCCGCGGCCCCGAAGCGCGTGCTGTGGCCTCTGTGCGCACGGCGCGGCCGCAACCCTCCCCGCGGCCCCCATGGTAGCTGGCCGGGGGCCCCCGGGTGCCTCTGGTTGGAGAGGGCTGGGGGCCCTCGCCATCATCACCCCGCGCTGCCGCCACCCACCGCTGCCCTTTCCTTTTCTCCCCTCCCAGGTGCTCTCGAGCCGGGGCGAGGGGATGAGGTGCCCCCGTGCCGCGTGGTGTGCCGAAGCGGCTCTTTAGATCCTCCCCGGCCCAAGCCTCCCCTGCCATGGATGCCTCGGGGGCTCTTGCTTCGGCTCCCTCCTCCGCGGCTCCCTCGGGCTCCCGCAGCCCCATGTTCCCCCCAGGAGCTGACAGAGAGGAGTGGGGACCGAGGTTCAATTGTGCCCCTTCCACCTCTGCCGCAGCCTCGCAGGCGATGCCAGCGTCTGGCCGGAAGAGGAAGGCCAACTTCTCCAATGACGAGACTGAGACGCTGGTCTGGAATGTGGTCCGGCATTTCAGCGCCCTGTATGGGTCTGAAGCCCTGCGGGCTCACCCCGTGCGGCGGAAGCAGCTCTGGACCCAAATCCAAAGCCGCGTCAACTTCCTGGGCTACACCGAACGCTCCATCGACGACCTCAAGCACAAGTGGCGCGACCTGCGGCTGGACGTCAAGAAGAAGATCACCTCCAAGAAGCACCTGCCCATGAACCGCGCAGGCGGGCCGCTCCACAAGCCACGCCTCACGCCCCTGGAGAAGATGGTGGCTTCCACCTTCTTGCAGGCCAGCCACGACTCGGAGCCCGAAATCATCTTGGACCCAGGTCAGTTGTTGGTAGTTCTCTGGGGAGAGTTGGAGCAGCTCTGTGTGTCCCCACCTGCCAGGCCGTGGTGTGTCACCCCCTCCCTGAGCTCCGGGCTCTGCCAAGTGTGGAAGGAGACTTGGGGGTAATTTCGCTCTCGCACGCGGTTTGTGTTGGGGTTGCAGCGCCTGGCAGAGCCCTGCTCCTGTTGTGTCTGAGCAGCAAAGCACCAGCATTGGAAACTCTGTGCTCTGGAATTAAAAATTCCACTGTGGAAACAACCTGGGACCAACGAGAACACCTCAGGCTTGGCGGGAGCGGGTCTTTTTTTTCGTTTCTTTGGGTTTTTTCCCTTTAACAGTGCCTGGCTTTGCTGGATGCTGTCTAAAGGTGCAAGATGGGATGGGATTTTCTTTTGCACGTTCCTTTGGGGGCCAGTGTCCCCCATGGTTAGCCGAGGTCAGAGAGAGCAGCAGCTTCGGTGCAAGGTCACCGTCCCCCTGCATCGTCTCAGGACCGGGGGAGCTGGTGCGTCTCCATGGGTCTGTGCCCTTGACCCTGCTGTCACCTGCAGAGTAGACCCGTGTCTCGGCAGAGTGCGGAGCCCTCTTGCTGGTCCTGCTCTTGGGCAACGCCTGTTCGGCTCAAGAGACGCCCTGGGTGAAGGTGTCGGTGAAAGACCTGACATCGGGCAAATGGTAGTGCTGAGCTGGGCCCAGCTGGGCTTTGGTACTGGCCAGGAGGCAAATACCCTCCCTGCCTTTTCTGCCGTTGTGGAAATCCGCAAAAGGGATGTACCCAGCTTCTCTGTGTCCCTAGAGAGCACCAGGGTCAGTCCTTCTGCCCCTTCCTCCGCTCTGATTTTGTGGGGTGGGCGGTATGGGGTCTCGTTTGACCCGGTTCAGGCTGGGGCTGCCTCTGAACCAGATGCTCGTCGTGCTGCCGAGCATCTGGGCTGAAGGAAGAAATCCTGTGGGACGTTTAGGAGATGCCAAATCCGCTCGGGGCTGGGCAAGTTGAGGATAGTCCCTGGGGCCAGGCAGCCTTGCTGGGGGAGCGTCTGTGCCTCAGTGTGAGCGTCGCTCCCTGGCAGATTCCAGCGGGGCTCTTCATCCCGGGGAACCCCCCTGCTCTCTGCCCTTCTGCAGGGGGCACATGAACTTGCCAGTGCCGTGGTCACAGCGGCTGAGGCTGGATTCTCTGTGTCCCGCAGATCTGTTCTTCCCCGGCGCCACCAAGCAATCCTTCATACACCTGCAACCCGGCGTCAGCCACCCCAGTATCTACATCGACACCAACGGGCAGCCCTCATCCCTGCCAGACGTGGAGGGCTCAGCTGTGCCCCGCCTGGCCGTGCAGAGCCCCGACCCCTCTGTCATCTGCGAGTACAGCCGGGGGGAAGGACAGAGCAGCTCGGGTGAGGCTGCGGGGGCTTTAGGCGCTGGGGGCAGGGGGGGGCTGGAGGGAGGTCGCAGCGACCCCCAAAAGCTCGCTGTGGTGGTTTGCACGGAGAGCCTGGGCCTGGCACTGCGGGGGATGCCCTGGCGGGAGATACTTCCCCACGTCAGCCCAGCGTGGGCAATTCTCTCCCGGTCAGCGGGGCCTGAAGGGCTGCGGATGCCTCATGGGGAGCCCTGAGCGCGGCTCCGTAATGGCCGAGGCTTGTCGGGTAGCGGGAGAAGGCGGCAAACCCAAGGGAAGGGGAAGGTTGTGGCCGTCCCCACGTCACGCAGGCTGCGAGGGGCTCACCGCGGGGCTTCTCCTCTCTTCCAGCCGAGTCAGGACCGGAGCTGCGGACTCCAGACGTGTCGGCCATTTCCCCATCCCTGCGAAACGAGTCACTCGTCTCCTACGCCTCCATGTCAGAGGAAGAGGAACGGGAAGGCCGGGAGGGGGAGAGGGCCCACGGCGGGGCTGCAGGGGTGCAGCCTGGGCCCGAGGCCCCCATGTCTGCGGAGGAAGACATGAAACTGTCCCGCCAGGCCATGCTGATCCGCCGCTGCAGCTCCCAGGGCTCTGTCACCTCCCTGCCTGAGGACCCTCTCAACCCCGTGGACGCTCACTCGGACTGGGGCCACGAGGGAGTGTCCGACTTGCCCCCTCTGGGCCGCGGGCTCGAATCCTCGCACCCCGAGGAGCAAGCAGGGGGCCCGGGCCCGGAGATGGGCACTTTGCCCAGGGTACTGATGGGGCCCACCTGGGAGAAGCCGACGGCAGAGGAGGAGCCCCCGGCCCGCTCCCCGCTGCATGGCGCCCTGACCGAGGAATCGCTGCCTTCCTCCGCGTCCCCCCCAGGCGATGCTCCCGCCGCCCCCGGCCCGCCTCGGGGCCTGGGCTGCTCCCGTCTGCGGGACGATCGCCGGGAGAGCTGGAGGACTAACATCCACCACCTGCTGGACCTGGAGGAGCAGTGGGACCAGCTGTACCACCAGGAGCTGGCCATGTGGCAAGAGGAACGGGCCACCCAACGCGAGGAGAGGGCCCGTGACCGCGAGCTCCAGTTCCGCCTCTTGGGCGTCCTCACGGACATCCGCGATGAGCTGCGGTACCTGC